CATCATACAGCCTTGAACAGAATACATGAAACCAGCGACATGAGTGGTATAGTTTTGATCCTCGTAGCGTAATCTGAAATGTATGAAGGATCAAAATGGATTAGAAGAAGGAACGAAAACGGAACCATATGCACAGTGTTATGCGATTTATGTGTTCGTTCAGGTAATCCAATTCAACCTCAAAATGAAACTCACCAGTTGTGGACGTCGTGCTCTGTGTGGGTGCTGTATCTATAAAATGAATGGGACATGTGCTAAGCGATTGAATCATCGCAGTTGCAGTAAACACCCTGCATTTGGGTTTTGTTGGATTTGGCTTCAGCAACATTCATCATCATTATGCAAAATTGTTCCACAGTCTCAACGATCTGAAACCTATTTTGTATTTGTTTCTGGTTCACTGAATTATCATTTTGCATAGAATATCCGAAGTTGAGGATCGAGGTGTATGCGACAAGAACAAATTAGGTAAAACGAGCAATAAACCGAATGTCAACCCAACAAATCTTCAAACGTATACCCCAAAGGAAACACATACCGTTTGCATTGAATACCGGAACATTCATTACGCGAAACCCTTTTATGTAATGTGCTATATGATATGGTGTCAAATGATCGTTTATACACAATGAGAGCAACTCAGACTTATTGAACTTATTTAGTGAATTCCCCATGTCTGTCAGGGGGATCTTAAAAGCTGAGAAGCGCAGAACAGTTATTGTGACCTATTTCCGTCTCTTTGCAAGCTAGTGCTGATATGAACGAGGACTGAGGTTGGGAACAAGCTGGGAAAACCGGATTGTGCTTTTCCATATATATATATATACTGGTATATATGTAATATATAGTGAATATCTATATATATATATATTATACATATCAATATATTCCAAATGGGAAATGGTTTGATGAGTTGCTTGCTCTTCGACTGATTGGAATGCTTGCGTTTTTTTCTGTGAGGTCACGGGTCCGATCTCAAATTGAGCCGACGGATTTGCACTGCGGATAAGAGACAACCAGGCGTGAACACTTGTCCAAAGCACCCTAGCTTTTCACTTAACGCCTCAATTGCATGAAGCCTTCATGAGTTAAACAAATGCAATAATAAGTAACTCATATTCAGTTTGCTGAAATTGTAGGCAACCGTTTTAAAAATGAATAATTTCCAGTTTATGTTTTTTACTGCACATGTAACACAATAGTTTATTCAAAAAACAGTTGTATACAAGAGGAAACTAACTTTCTGTATTTTCAGATGCCGCTGTTGATGCAGCAGATGTTGGTGCAGCAGATGATGATGCCTCAGATGATGATGCCTCAGATGATGATGCAGCGGGTGGAGCTATGGAAGAGAAAACGGTGATGAATGTACCGATTGTACTTCAGATACGTAAATATATATATATATGCATGAAGCCTCATATATGAAAAATGAAACAGTGTTGATGCAATGCGTTGGAGGAAAAATATTCAATTTATCTAATGAATGCTGTTCCTGTTTATCACGTGAAATAGCTCTGAGGACGCTGTTGCAGGGTATACCGAAAAATCCAAAACCCAAAGGATATGGAATCATTCTCCGATGGAAAGATTCTTAGGGTGCATCTTCTAATGTTGTGAGTTCTATTTAATAGTAAAAAAGCTCGTTAGCATGTAATTCTACTGAGCTTCAAAAGGCACATGCTATTTTTTCCAGTATCATGTTGTATGCGTGTTTCTTGAAACCAGGTTTCGAAAGCTTTCACGGTTCGAATCTTGACGGAGTATATTAGGACAGTACAGATTATGATGAGGTGGGGTTCTTCAGAATATATTATTCGTTCTTGAAATGTAAACTGAAATTTGAAGTATTCGCTATCATGCAATTATTGGTGCTTCTTTGGAATACAAGAAGAAAGCAGGTGATGAAAGGTACAGGCGACATAGACTGCTTACTTCAGAACTTCATTCCCATGCAACCATATAAAATTATTTTTTTCCTGTTTAATAAGAAGTAATTAGACTACAACATCATATTGTGAAGTTTGATGTTGGATAGTGATTGATGAGGGATGGACTTACCCGGCGGCTCTTCTAAAATACGAACAAGATATTGATTAAATTGGGTTATTCAACCCTTTTAATCGACACCTACAATAATTTCAGCACACACATGGAGTCAATTTGAATTGCGTAGACGCACAGAATATGATCCACAGCAGTTAATTCCTTAAGAAATAGGAAATTTGACGATATAACAATATTTCATAGCATTTCCGTGCGACAAATCGAGAGATAACCAGTATGACGCGCAGCTTGTTACACTCAACCTTTCCAGATTGCTCAAATGTTGTACCGGATTTGTTGAGCGGTCAGATGAATAATTGTCACATCAACTCTGTTGACTACGATCACATTTTAAGGAGAAAATACGCAGCTAAATAGGAACTAATTCGGACTTTACGCAGATGTACTTTCGCGTAGTTATATTTAGTTAACATGTCAACCAATTTCTTTGTAGTATTGATTTCTCCGATGCTCGCGTTGATGTTCGTGATGATTTAATTTACTGCATTTGAACCGAAAACACAAACTGTGCAGTTCAGCACAATTGCGTTGTTAATTATGTTTAGTATGTTCATGAATGCGCTAGATAACCACAGACGGATACCCTCGGGTAACACTAGGGGAAAATCTTCACTGAATTTATATATCAGCCCAGATGTCTTTTTCTTTCTTAGTATTCCTTATTTTCTGAATCAGAATAGTAAAACAGATAATTCAAATTAGCGGTGAAGGAGAAACACGTCCACATCAAGTCATTTTCATTGATGTCGCAAACGAATCGTAATGTGTGATGGTGAATTTCAAGGGTGTATAGGCGTTTTATCAAAAGGCAATGCCAATTAGGAGGCGAATGTAACGATATATTCTACGTATATGTGATTTTATCTTAATTCCTTGAGCATGATCTGCCTTTGATGTCATCAAGGGCGTCAGTTTTGAGGATACACATCACTGGAAAACTGTCGTCGATATTATAAATAATACTCTCACGACAGAGATAGGTTTTTCTCACGATATAACCAAGAGAGTTCATAAAAGTCTGCTTTCATCGGGACATCACAGTTTGTTCCACTCATGGCAAAATACAACTGTCAATAGTTTCCATGTCGTTATTTCTTTTCTGATTCATTCACGTCAGCGCTGAACGAATTTCGACGGACAGAAAATCTAGAATACACAATCGCTATAGTCACACTAGTTCG